GGGATGACTATATATATATATATATATACATTATATACATATATGGATGGGATTTCCCAGCCAGGATGGAGCACAGAAACCATGATCTCTGGCATTGCATCCGGCTCATGCAGGTCATCAAGTCATCGCCGCGCGATTCACATGAGTCCAGCATCACCCCATTGCGCAATGACTGAAATGACCCCAGAGATCCCCAAAATCGTGCAGTAAAAACATCTCGAAAACATTGTGGACATCGCCGGTCGCGGCCCAGCAGTGCCAAGGTGGACCTAGTGTGCTTTGTTTTGATTTGTGGTGTGGCATCATAGAGTCTTATAGAGAGAGAGAGAGGAAAACAAAAAGCATCTCGCAAATAGCCAAACAATGATGAAACAATGATGGATTTTTTTTACATGAATCATGAATGCATCTGAATGGTATGTACTCAAACTTTGTTCATTGCCGCCATTGCCGGGGCAAATCGGAGACGAAACCAGCGCTGAAACGTTGGCGTGCTGTGCGAAACCCACGGGCGTTTTCCAACACATTCCAACGTGGCATGAATATCATTGAATGTCCCTATCATATGCCTATCATATCCCTATCATCCCTTAAAATTGCATATGTGTTTTGGATGTCCAATGGGTTGGTTTGTAGCAACCATCTACCATAAATCAATTGATATAAATCCTCTTGTTTGTTGGTTATAAAATATTGATCCTGTTCCATGCCTGAAAGTTAGATGATGAGTTCCAGATCACACCACATGACCAGGCGATGGCTGGGCCCACCATTCTTGAGGTTGGGGAGTTTTTTGTGGGGCGCCAGCTGGTGGGCCAAAAAACAAGGCAAACCATGCAGGCGAACGAACAATAAAGTCATCCCAAGAAAGACAGAAACAAACAGAAACGTAAATTGCTGCGAATTTAGTGATGATACTCTTTTCCATCTTTTTGGGGATGACTATATCCAAAAGGTGTTGTAGTTATACAATTCCTTGTTTCTACGGCGATATATTTCTACCTTCCGTGCATGCAAGATGTGGACATCGTGAGCCATGGTGTTAACATGATAGATGTGCTCGTACGGGTGGAAAGACATAAAGAGATGGATGGTAGATAGATAGTCAAATGGGTAGACAGACAGGGAGAAACTGCAGATATGTAGATCGATGGATAACAGATGGATGGAGACAATGAGATGGATAGACGTACGGAAGATGTGACATACCCTCTGGTAATTTAACATAGCTATTGAACATGGTGATTTATAGTGGATTTTCCCATTGAAAATGGTGATTTTCCATAGTTATGTAAACGTTTACCAGAGGGTATCCATCTATAGATTTCGATGGGGAGACGGCCAGGCGGTTAGGCAGAAGCTGTTGGACATGAATGGTCCGGTGGCACTGTTTGTTGGGGGCCGACCTGCCGGGCCCGGGTGGTATGATGCTATATGATGCTAATATTATAACCCATAGGATCCATGTATGGTATATATATATATATATGCTAACATTGGGGGTATATTGATGGTAAATGTTACCATATATATATATAGCATACATGGATCCTATGGGTAATATCCCCACTGTTTCAAAATTGTTAAAATTGTGGAATGGTTGATTTTTTGGTTTACCATATTAAACGCATATCAGGTCTCTGAACGATGATATCTTGCGCACATGTTCATGTAAGAAAGTTGCTGCTCGAGTTTTGCATTCCGAAATGAGGGCTGTTTGTTACAAGATTTTTTTGAGCCTTGGATGTTGTTTAGAACGAAACAAAAATCGGAACTCAGGGTGGTATTTCGGTGTATTTTCAAATGGTGGCGTTCCTATGTGTAAAACCTCATTGAGACTAGGCCAGCTCAAAGACATCGCTGGTGACACAAAGCCCTGCAGGGACCCCCGTGATGTCGGCGTGATGTCGGGTCACTTTTGGGGCGCCCTGATTGAGGGGAGGGACATAGTTTTACTGAGGAAAAAAATGGTTGAGTAGTTGACACTTTTTCATTTGCCCTGAATATCATGATATATCCACACATGTGCTAAGATGGTTCCAAAAGAAAAAAGAACAATATTGTCTTTGGCGGTGTAACAGTTGTTTCTGTTCTTTGTTTCTTTGCTCTAAAGTTGCACAAGCACTCCTGCATGACATTGTTCTACCATCTTTTCTGCTGCGGAACAAACGTTACCAGCACCTTTGACACCGCGGTTTTGAATGGCTGGGTGGATGAAATGGATCGCCCTGTTTAAGCAGAGGCCGTCAAAATCAATCTTCAACGCGGATTTGAAGAAATTTGGCGTGTCACATGAAAGTTGTACAGTTTGTTATGACGAAGCTGGTTTAGATTTGCCATCTTAATTGTCAGCTTCCAATGTAATATATATATATATGTGTGTGTGTGTTTCATTCATGTTAATTTATGTGTTTTTTTTGGCTATATGCTGGATGCAGAGATGTTGGTCTTGTGGGACCAGCCGTGGGCCACGCCAATGGCAGAAATGTGGCATTTTCACATGGCATTTTCACGTGAGCAACGGAGGCAGCCTGGTTGAATGTGGTTAATGGCAGCCGTTGTTCTGTGCTGATCGCCTCCACAAACAAAGCATAAAATACACAGAGAGAGTCTCCTAAAGATGGCTCAAGGGCTGGCCCGGATGGTGCGCGTTGTAAAAACCCACCTGGCAAACTGATCCGCGAAGAGATGTACCAATGCCTACTGACAATAATATGGGATACGAAAGCTTGTAAGCACACTACTAGCAACTAGTCTTTAGTATATATTATATCGCAATTCCTGACCGCATGAACCAGAGCTTAGACATGCTATGACTGTGGCCGAAGTGGCTCAAGGGTGCGTAAGTTCACCCTGCTCTCGGGCCGCGTTTCGGGCGATGTGCCGCTGAGAAAACTCGCACTAGCGGCAAGATCCCAAATGATTTCCATACGATGTGACTGGGTGGTGATTGAGAAGCTAAGTTTCAATATGGTTTTGTTTGTGAGTTACATGGTAACCCACTGGTAGACCCCTGTTCATGTTTGCATTCGCCGCATTGTCATCGGTCATGCAACAGTTTCAGCACTTGCAATATATTGACAGAAGGCATATGGGATAAACCCTCAGCAGTTACGAGTTCATACTCGATGATGGATTTGCGGTGTGTATTGTCAGCATGTTTGCCAACCTTGTTTTCTATTTTGGAAATGCACCCAGCTATGACTGGAGCTGTATGTCCAGTTTTTGGTTCCAACAACTGCCATGGGACCATGAAGTAGAAAGTTTACCCTGGGGGCAGATGTCCCACAGGAGTAGTTTCAGGGAAACTATTTGCAGGACTTCTGTACACTTCTTCAGTTGAACAAATGTATAAGTTTCAGGTTGCCTGCCCCTTGCCCTCCGGTGTCACCCAACGTGGCTTGCTGGAATTTCTCCTATTTATATCTATATATATGTATATACATACATGTACTTATTGATTGTATTCTATTGTATTGAGTATAGTATAGTATTGTATTGTATTGTATTGTATTGCACATTGTATTGTATTGTACATTGTATTGTATTGTACATTGTATTGTATTGTACATTGCATTCTATTGTGCATTGTATTGTATTGTACATTGTATTGTATTGTTTTGTATTGTTTTGTATTGTATTGTATTGTATTATACTCGTATTGTATTGTATTGTGTTGAGTATAGTATAGTATAGTATTGTATTTTATTTGTATTGTATTGTATTGAGTATTGTATTGAGTATTGTATTGTATTGAGTATTGTATTGTATTGTATTGAGTATTGTCTTGTATTGTATTGAGTATTGTATTGTACTGAGTATTGCAGTGTATTGAGTATCCTATTGTATTGAGTAGTGTATTGTATTGAGTATTGTATTGTATTGAGTACTGTATTGTATTGAGTACTGTATTGTATTTTATTGTATGTTGTATTGTATTGAGTATTGTTGTATTGTATTATGTATTGTGTTGTGTTGTATTGTATTGTGTGTATGTGTGTGTAGTTCGATGATTTTCCCATTGACACATTTTTTTTTTAAAGATTTCCCAGCCATGTTTGATTACCGGAGGATAAATCATCTTAATCTATTAATCAAGCCTTCCTGGGCCCAAGGTAGTGGTCTTATTTTATTGCCCTTGGCGGTCCTGGCGGCGTGGGAGGATGCAGCCCAGTTCCATGGCAGTGCAAAAAATTGCCGCAGCATTGAGTTTCCTCCGGTCACGACAAACATGTGGATCCGTGGAAAGTCCGGAAGATGTTCATTTTCAGAATTCAAATGACTCTTGGGCAGGCAACACCTGAAATTACTGAAATTTAAGATCTTAAAGTTATACCCGGAGTAGCCAAACAAAGAAAAGGCATCAAGGATTGAGAGCAAACACCCAAAAGCAATGCTGAATATGAATTCAGAGATGGTATATAAGATTTGGGAAAATGCTGCTTTGTTTCCAGTCTATATCAAAACGCATCAAGACCGCACCCTACTTGGTTGGCAGTCTCCGGGGCTATCCTGGGGCCTGGAAAAACGGATAGCTTGTGACGAAACTCAGCAACGGGAAGCCTGGAAATTATGGAGGAAACATCACGTAGTTCTTGGAAACAATTGTCTATCTATCTTTTTGGGACCTCTTTTTGGACGGCTTTGAATTTGTGGCATTTTGTGGCTTACCTCAGGATTGATAGGACTGCAACTTTGATGGGAAAACTGAGAATCAACGACTGAATCTGGGGGACCCCATTTAGGACAAGCCCGTGAATCGAAGCATCACACACATATATAATATAAGTGGGAAGTGGGAGCGCTTGCATTTAGAGCGCATTCCTATGATGTATTTCTATTATCGGATTGAGTGCTAGCTGGCAGACGTCTCCGAAGCAAAGGTGTCCCCCAAAATCCTTACTGACTCACTTCCAGCAGAAATTAGGCAAGAGCTTGCGGAAGATTTGACGGTTCCGTTTCAGCTGCACAGCTGTCTTCATGAGAGGCTGGAGATTCAGATGGATTTGCTGCAGCGACATTTGGAGATCGAAACGGCTGAAATGCGAAGGATGATGCTTGGCTCCCGGAGCTGCGGTTTTTCAGGACCGGATTTTTACAAGTTAGGTGATGAAACCACCAGAGAAAAGAAATGGCACAAATCGGCCGATTTTGGTGCTACCGAAGCATCATTTTTGGTGGGAAGAATTCTGAGCTATACTGGGGTTTACACAGATATTCGTGAACATGGTTGAAGTTGGCTGATCCTTGGGTTGATTTGACAGTTTTACGCCGCGACCACTGCTTTCACGAGCATCTATGAACAATCTGTTTTACAACTCATTCAAAGCACTCGTGCAAATGTTTCGACGCAGACCTTTCGGGTAGAAATGGTATGGGAATGGTTGAGTCATGTTGGGCTTGTTTTGAAAGCGAGTTTTTTTTTAATAATTGATTCCCCTTGTGCACAGCGATGCGGCAAACCATTTGATTTGTTTCGAAAATTCAGCGAATCCCCGATGAAAAATAAGGAAGGCAAGGCATGTTGAAGGTCAGTAGTGTTTTTTCCTTTTGGCGGTTTCAGTAGTGTCCTTTCCATCCCTGAGATCCTTGACTTTCAGTGGGCCCGATGCCATGAGCCATAAATGGATGTCATTGGGCCCATCCCCCTAAACTCCTAAACTGAGCCTTTCATTCCTAAGTGGTATACCCAGTTTCATAAACCCCTAATTTGCCGGATGGTTTGCCGGTTTGCCATAAGAAGACAAAATGATCATAAATTATCTGTCCCATATTACATACCCTCCGGTAAACGTTTACAGAACTATCGTAAATCCACTATTTCTACGGCCATTTTCAATAGCTATGTAACAAATTACCGGAGGGTATTGTTTATGATGATGGTTTCATCATGTTTCATCACTATCGCATGATGATCCTGTACCGTAACTGTTCGCTTCGTTGGAGATTTGTTTCTGGATAAACCATCCCTCCATGTTTCGCTAAGACCTTGCAGGGTGAGGGAAGATCTCCCCTCCAAACACATGGTGATTTTCAAGGTCTATGCTCAGGGGATGGTCAATGCCACTGTGTCCCTATTGGATCCTATTAGATCGCCGAATCGCCATTAAAAAACAAAACTATATCCCTTTCAAGCCACCAAAGAATCCAAATATATCACCAATCAGCGTAAAAGTTCAGAGTAGTCCCATTAGTTCAGGACGTGTTTGGTTAGTTTCCTTTAGATTGAGGCCAGTTTTGCATGCGCGCTCGCATGCACATTTCGAGCCCCGAGCCCTAAACAATTGCAGTGACAAAGGGCAAAGACATGCAGTATTTGTTGAATGTAAAAGATTGTGGAAATAGACTATAGGTGTGTGTATATATATATATTATTATTTATATGCACATATGTGTGTATGTGCGTGTTCTGACTTATGAAATCTCAATATGATGTGTGATGTATTTACATATGTTTCATGTATATTCTCGACGATGTAGGGAATGTGCAAGTTTAAACATATCTGAATGTATAGTTATAGTTGCTGACACAAGTGTGGAATTTTGAAACGTATATTTTATGTGTGTAATGTAATATTATATGTATAATTTTGTTTATTTGATGTTTTTGATTTTGTTTTCTTCATTTATACCTACGGGTACTAAACATGTTTTGTGTCATGGCATATGTGTTTTACATTTAGATGTATAAACACACATAAACACACACTAGACAAAAATTGGATCTTTGAAGAGATCCATCAGGACCTGAGTCCTGTAACGTGCAACCAGCCTAGACAAGTAGACCTAAAGTAGATCTCGTGGTTGTACTTCGCGAGAACGATGAAGGTTTTCCGAAGAAATCAAACGTAGACCCAACCAGAATACAAACGTCAAATAACCCGTCAAGAAATTCAGATTGCGGCCACCGTGTAAATCAATAAATCAATAAATGTGTTTGGTGAGGTCCTTGGCTTAGCCTCTTGCCATGAACGGTCAGAAAATCCAGGTACGCAGAGCTGATCAGGCTCTGTATCCCATACAATCAGGTAGCTTCGTTCGACGTGGTCCCTGATTGTATGCCACGTCCCCCTGCTTTATTAACAGGAGAGAAGAAAGAAAAAGAAACAGGAGAAGTTTTATATATATTTAGATGTTACACACACACACACCTGGCCGAAGCCGCATCAACCCTGAAAGGCAAGAGGAAGGAAAAAGCGGACACAGACGACGGGCAAAAGGCCAGAACAGCGCAGGCGGGGGAAGAGAACGAACGGACCTCCAGAAACAACCTACGCGGCGAAACGGACCTGACAAAAACAGAGCAAACATCTAAACCCCACGACACATTACGGAGAAGCACAGGGGAAGAATTGGGGACCGTATGGGGACTAGTTGGTGACGGGCGTGAATCAACCAAAACAATCAATCTAAAAAGGATCCAGTTCCACCTGCCACAGAAGTCGTGCGTTACTCCCCTTCGGGACCGTTGTCAAGTCGCGCCGCAATGGCATAAACAGCTATACGAGTTCCAACGAATTAGGTGCACAATATGTTCAACCTCACCGGAGTACCAAAAAAAAGGGACCACACCTGGAAAGCGTGTGCCTGCCTGAATGGTTGCTCAAGCGACATGTTTGTTTCTCACTTCAAAAGCTGCGAAGGGGAAAATGGAGTTTCTGGCGGTTCCGAACGACTTCACTGTGGTAGAGACGCATCCCCAGGTTTCACAAGGGACGGCAGGCGCGGCAAGACATCTCAAAAAGGCTGAAAAACCGAAAGGCCAACTGTTTCGCTTTACTTAGATGAAGTACCAAGTTAAAAAGTGCAAATTCGGAAGTTAAATTCGTCAACAGTCACCCACACCGGGGTTGCCTCCAGTGGCCCTATGGCACCTTGTCAGAGTCACCATGGGTAATACACTAGACAAACATTGGATCTTTGAAGAGATCCATCAGGACCTGAGTCTTGTAACGTGCAACCAGCCTAGACAATTAGACCTAAAGTAGATCTCATGGTTGTACTTCGCGAGAACAATGAAGGTTTTCCGAAGAAATCAAACGTAGACCCAACCAGAATACAAACGTGAAATAACCCGTCAAGAAATTCAAATTGCGGCCACCGTGTAAATCAATAAATCAATAAATGTGTTTGGTGAGGTCCTTGGCTTAGCCTCTTGCCATGAACGGTCAGAAATCCAGGTACGCAGAGCTGATCAGGCTCTGTATCCCATACAATCAGGTAGCTTCGTTGGACGTGGTCCCTGATTGTATGCCACGTCCCCCTGCTTTATTAACAGGAGAGAAGAAAGAAAAAGAAACAGCAGAAGTTTTACATATATTTATATGTTACACACATATATATATATATATATGTATTATATGTTTTTTTGGTGGTTAAGATCCAGAATTGCATATAGTTGGAAAACGACTGTCCACAAGACAATTTGTTTGTTTGTGACCAATCATTCTGCCATTTTCTCCCAGGCTATTGAACACTTGTTTTACGGAGGCCTTCTAAAAAAACACGTGTCTTAATAACTTTCATGGCACCATCATGGGGTTCAAAGGGTGTTAGAATCATCGCCTTAAAGTAGATAGACAACCCCTCAATTCAAGTGTGGGATAGATGATGTTCAAAGGCTTTTGGTGGTGCAATTTGGAATGATCGTTTGATCATCTCCAGGATGAATGGAAGGTCAATGGTTGTATGTGGGAACAAAAACACATTTGTGGCCACCAGTTTGACCACTAAAGTCATTCAAGTGGCTGGGGCCTAGAAATCCTAGAACTGATCGCAGGGTTCCAGGATGGTCCAGGTATTCCTTAAATTCACACATACTCTCAGCAAGGTATAGATGGCATAGCATGGGGCATGGTGTCAAAAAAACGGTTGGCTGCTGAGGAAGGCTTCGCCCATGTTCTGGCTGCACATCCCCAAGTGCGGTTCGAGTTTCTACAACACCCTGGTGCACATGCCCGGAAATTGCAATGGATGGCCAGAGAATTTGAGCAGCCTGGAAAAAGGATAGGAACTTCAAAGCTTTCAGGCTGCCTGATCGACCTGAAATGATCGTAAAGGTAAAGGGAATCATCTCAAAAATCATAGGTTTTTGAGTTTTTGATTTGTCTAGTTGATCATCCGGCACATGTATTTCCAATTCATGTGTTTTTTGCCGAAAATAGTATTTGGTGTCTTTCTAGTATGTTAATTAGTAGGCTCTAAGAACGGCAAGAACGGAAGAGTCGAGGGTTCCTCACAGGTCGCTGCAGGCTTTGGGATGAACATGTTTTTTTTTGAACCGGGATTGCGTGGAATCTAGATGACTATTTGGCAGGCATTTAGCCACTGGTCGCGTTTTGCTTTGTTTATTGTTGTGGTTGAGCTTGGGTTTGATCAATGTTGCAGGGGAATTTTACATGATTTGTCGTTATTTGGTAGTCCAGTCCCCAGTTTTTCAAGCACATGTGAGTGGTTACATGTCATCAGAGTATGCTGAAAGGATCATCATTAGCGACACCCGCGGCTGTTGATATTGTTTTCTGGCAATCCAAGGTATCAACGACGAAATGTTTAGCAAATGCTTCGAAGTTGGTTCTCGGGCAATGTCAGCCAGCTGGAAGTTAGACCCTGCTCTACATGCCATTCATGTGTGCCAACATTGAGGAAACATAGGCCAAAACGAACATATCTGAATGGTGGTTTGGAACATTTTTTATTTTCCATAATATATGGGATAATCCTTTCCATTGACTATATATGTTTCAAGATGGTTAAAACCACCAACCAGATTTGCCATTCATTCATTTTTTCTAAATAAGAACGCATTTGGGGATAATGTTGACGCTGTGACTGATACCTCCCAACATCTCAACATTCTTCTGGGAAGCTTGGGCCTTGGATGCCACCGCGATACATAGGCGTTGTATGGTCCTGGGTACATGCAGATTGTATATGTATATAAATGTATATGCACACACAGACATACATACACCCACACAGTACGTTTAATACAACTATCTGGAATCAATTAATGAAATAGATATGAAACCTTGACACAAAAAAAACAAAAAAACAAGTTCTAGTTTCTTTGTGATCATGCAGGCCTCAAGCGGCCTCAAGTCAAGGCTAAACTGAGATCATGGCGGCGATGAGCATTTCCATGACTCAGGTCCGTCAAAGTAGGAAGGTGGCAGCCTCCTTAGTAACAGGCATGATTTTTTGCTCTATGGGCTTAAAGCCTCCATTAGACTTTCCTTGGATAGTTTGTCTTTTCCTTGGGCTTGTTGTTCCTTTGTTTCCCCCTGGAAACCGAAGGAAAACAAAGGAAACCAAAGGAAAACCATAGAATCCACCCAGCCCCAAACCAAAGGAAACTGGAGGAAACTACAGGAAATCAAATGATACCAAAGGAAAAATGAGATAATCTAAGAACTTCTAGAACGGATTTTAGCTAGTTCCTTGTTTCTTGTTGTATCTTTTGTATTCTTCCCACAATCAAAAGCCGTATTTTGGTGCAACCCATGCGTTGGAAAGGTTGACAGTGCTAGCTTTTGGCCCATACCTTGGTGGAAATGTGGAACACCTGTTGCAGAAAACACACTTGTACTCATAGGGAAAAAGAACACATAAGAATACACAAGAAAACCAGAGGTTTTCAAAGGAAAGGGCAGGGTGATCAGCCCAGCGAAAGAGTTCCTAATGAAATAACATAAAATAACATGTTTCAAAGCAGCAAAGCCCAGCTGATCCTCGAGGATGATGCAAGAGGATGAGGGTTTGGGCATTCTCACCTGTGGAGAGCACCTCTCTCACAAGGGTGGATGATAGTGGATGGACATATCCCAGACAACCAGAGGATTCGCCAGATGAGACCTCCTGATACGCCATGGTGTTCGGTAAAGAAAAAAGCCCGACGGTTGGGCGGGAGGAAGTAGGCCACACCCCAAGATCAATCAATGGCATTTGCAGTAGGTTCTCCAAGCGCCCATCAAAAGCATTCAAAAGCTGGTCATTGAACTTGCTGTTATTGTGCAAAGATCCATGGCTATTTTGCCATGTGCTACTTGTACTTGAGGTGCCCGGTGTGGTGTGATCAAGCACGTCTGCATTGTGACCAAAACCCTCATGCCACTCATCAGTTTTTGGATGAAGAAACGTACCAGATCTACAAGGGAAAGTTTGTGGCACTTTTCCGGCAGCCAGAGCAACGTTTCCAGGCTTCGAGCGACCCAGCCTTTCGGAATCCCCATTCCCCTTGCCTTTGTTTAGCAACGTTTAGCTCATTGCAGTGTATACCATGGGATAGTTTAACTTAGCAATGGGATAGCAGTCATCTATATATCTACTGTATCGTGTATGAATACTGTTCATTTACATACATGTAAGATACTGCATGCACATACTTGCAACAATACGATAATATGATTTACTGTAATATCATATATTAATAACGCGCAATATATATATATATTTATTTATATATATATATTATTTACTGTATATGTTTATCCTTTTTTGTATGTAACAAAACGTAACATGATGGAATATACTATATATATATATTTACAAGAGACACTATGATTTCCCACTATGCAACAGGTATTTCCAAGCCACGCTTTGATTGATGACTAGAGGAATCATTCGAGGTTTGCTGTCTGCTTGGTATGATGATTCCGACATCTTTCGGGCAAACCCTTTTATCTCTGCATGCGCCGAGAATCGCACGCCTGCAACCAGAGGATTTGCTGAAGATTTTTTTTTTCCTGTTTATTTGGCTTTCTTTTGGGCAACCTAAGTGGGCCGTGCTGTTCTTTCAAGAGCAGCCCCCGTTGGGGTTCAATCTTTGGGTCTGGGAGCGGTGCATCGTTTGCTTGGCCAAAGAAAGGGAATGGAACCCCCATCGGCTTCGGCTTGCAGAATTTTGACCAACATCTCGAGCACATCCAAGGAAAGACTCATGTCCATGGACGAATTTAAGGGACACTATGGCAGTTGGGAAACAAAGCAGCTGGCGGGCAAAGCCCCGCCGCCGACGCAGGCCAGGGTTGTTTGCAAATGCGTTTTTCTGGCCTCCTATAGTGACGGACAATCACTTAGAACGTATTTTGGAAAAAAAAATCTGAATATTACTGTTTTTTTTTACGTTCTAAGCCTTGCACTTAGAACGTCGAAAACCATACACTTAGAACGTCCAAATATCAAGATTCATCACTTAGAACGTACCGGGGATTTAACACTTAGAACGTGTTTGCTGCAGTAAGTAGCCGGCCCCTTGCAGTTCATCCCTGATGGAATAATATAGGGTGGGATGACCCATTGTCAAAACATTGGTAGTTTTCCCTTAAAAGGGGCTGATCATGCCCCATGAATTGAAGTTGATATGCCCATTGTATGGATTCCCTAATGATGGTGAGAGGACATCCATTTACCACCATATAATATATATCTGTTTTAGGATTATGCCAGGATTTTCCCATAAGCACATATAAACACCAGACAACGGGAACAAGGGTCATAGAGTCATAGAGCATGTAGAGCTCAAAAACACTCGGAGCATTACAGAACTCCCCAGGGTGTTTCTTGCACAAACATAAGAAAACAATAGAAAACAAACCAACTGTGCGATATAACAAGGATATTTTATTCACTGCAATATGTTGACAAGAGACAATGCACATGTTTTTTGAAGTCACCGAATCGCGAAGCCAGGCCCCGGCTCAGCAGCCTCAGCAGGCCGATGTTCTGATGGCATTGGAGCGCTTGAGGGAAGGCTTTGCTTTCGTGGGTTTGCAAGAAGAGTGGTCGCTTTCCATTTGCCTGTTCCATGCAAAATTCGGAGGACCCTGTCGCAGCCTCGAATTTCTGGACACCAGGCCCGATAACCGCAGAACAAACGCTACCAGCACCTACGACACGGCGATTTTGAATGGCTGGGTGGATGAAAGTGATCGTCCTGTCTATGCAGAGGCCGTCAAGATCTTCAACGCGGATTTGGAGAAATTTGGCGTTTCACATGAAAGTTGTACAGCTTGTTATGAGGAAGCTGGTTTAGATTTGACGCTTTAGCAGTGTTACTGTGTATTCAGAAAAATCACAAGAGTGTGTGTATATATATGTATATATACATATGTGTGTGTATGTGATTGTGTTTGTGTGCATTTTTATTTTTATTATATAGACACATGTAATCACACACACATACATATAATTATAATTATATATATATATTATACGTATTTATACATGTTAGGGCTGCACAATGTCGACCTCTTGCACTATGAGCCCTGCGCACACTCTGCCGAGAGCCTGAAAATGATCTCCCCCCATTCACTTCTTTGGCCAGGGGTCACTGCCCCTGTGCTAGGTTTCCAAATTTTGGGCATCATGAATCTGCAAGAAAAGTTGGCTACCCCATAGTCGGGACATGGCACCCATGGGGGTTCCACAGCACAGGGCCCCCAAGAACATATGGACTAGATTTATGTGGTATGTTTTTTTTGAAGATGATTCAACCCCGTTCGATCCCTCCCCAAGCTGAGTCGGCAACTTCATCGCAATTGCCACGCTATATTCACTGACGCTCTCGAAAATGAAGAAGTCGGAGATAATGGATCCTCCGACGGACATTTTTTCTGGCACGCATAAATCGCCAGTTTTGCGGGGTTGATGTTTCTCGAAACTGGTTGGAATAGGATGGCCTAGATAGGGTGGGCTCGGATGGCCTAACATTCAATATGTTTGCTGATGAAGAAACATGGTTTCCTGATGTTTCCTGATCGCCTGTTTCAAAAATCCCTGAAAGCAAACCAGCGAATTCATCGGTATAAAGTGCATGTCTTACACGGCCATTTCTTTCCGTACACACAATAATCTTCGCTTGGTGAAAAGAAAGAAAACACGGACCTGTTCGCGTGGATTAATTAATTGGATATTAATTGGTCATGTGAGTCATGTGTCCTCTTTCTGTTAGCTAAAGTCCAATGTTTGTCAGTTACATCACCAGTAATCTATCTCTATCGCAAAATCCACATGCATGTTTGATGTGCAAATCCCGATTTTTTTCGCTGTTAAATCCCCACTTCTGGGAAAGAAGAATGCAATGTTAATGTGATTAATCATCATTAAAATAAACATATTAAAATTGTGATTCTTATGCTTATAATAACCCTTGTGTTTGTTTTTTTCCGTTTTTTGTTGTCCGAAATGTTTCTCGACGTTTTCTTCGAAGCAGTGAGGCCATCTCACCTCGCGGCCCGCCTCAGCGCGTGCGCGCCCTGCCACAGCACCAGGACGCTGTTGTGGCAGTTGGTGGATCCGATCAACTACCAAAAGGATGATCGAAACCTTAGAAATAATGGTATTACCACCTGGTTATTTAACATAGCCATGGAAATCATCTATAAATGGGCCATTTTCCATGGCTATGTTAAACAACCAGAGGGTAACTATGCATGTATTAACAACCTATCAACTATGATCAATCTGATCAAGCCACTCAGGTCTTCACAACCATCCACTTTTTTAACTGTCGGTACTGAGTTTTATTGTTCTGAATGTTTTTCCTATTTGTGTGAAACTAATTTCATTCTATCAATTATCATTGTTTTTCGCTGTGATCATCATTATTTATTTTTATTGGATAACGATTTTTGTATTCTAACCTGCTGGTAGATCAGACAGAACGCCAGGTAGAATGTCAGATAGCATGTCAGATAAAACATATCAAATAGATTTATATAAACGGAAATTCAAATAAATTTAGATATAATGCCGGATAGAATGCCAAATAGGATTCCAGATAGCATGTCAGAAACAATGTCAACGTATAAGGTATAATGTGAAATATAGCATGCTAGACAAACTGTGAGACTGAGAGGATGTCGGGATATATGTTAGCTGCTAGATAGAGAATTAGCTAGATAAAATGCCAGATAGAATGTCAGAAAGGATGCAAGGTACCATGTCAGAATATATGATAGATAACGATTTATTTTTCAACACACACAATATATATATATATATATCAGAAAATATGTCACGGTGTGAATCGCACGAAGTAAGGTGCTTGTTTATGTTTTGTGTTTATTGTTATTCCTTTGTGTGCATTGTTTTCATGACGCATGTTTATGCTGGTGTTTTTCACGTTCGCCGTTTGCTTTGCAACAATAGAGCCTTCGAGAAGAACATGGTTGTACTGATTTGGAAACCCTGGCCAATTGATCAAAAGGGAACCCTGAAAACGTGATTTTGTGCACTAGTGTTACTGTCAAACCCAAACAAGGATTTATCTATCTATATAATTAGTTAACATCAGGGCTATCTACCACTCCAAAGGGGTTGGCAGGCCCCATCAGGTACCTTGTGGAACAAAACAACCAAGAATTCGTCGAACCCAAGATGGTCCCAACAGCAGTGCCTGTTGGGTTTTAGTCTTTGAATCTGGGGTCCCAGGGGTCACCCGTAAAGTGGGCAATGTCACAATGACACGTACGTGAGAGCGAAGGGATTTGTCGGGTTACGCACACTTGTAGTAGTGGTATGTAGAGGTATACCAGGCATAGCCAGGCATACGATTTTGAGCTAAACAAATGTCTTGTCAGTTCGTGGTATCATGATTTTACATTTGCATTTGTTCATATCCCACCCACGCCACTGGAACAAAAATGGTGGTTGGATGGGGCAGTGGAATTGGGGCTTTGAACCTATAATCACTGCCTATCACTGCCTGAATTGTTGTCGATCATTTTTGTCAGCTTTGCCGCAGCTGCAAAAATGAGCAATTAGCGATCGAACATAATGTCAGCAATTGACCTTACCGAATTTCCTCCTTTAGGGTGCTTTCTTAAACATGATTGTTCCACATGGACCCTCAATCCAGCAAACTGGCTCATAAACCAGAACGGAAACCATTTCCTTTGGGACAGTCTGGGCGCCTCTCACTTCACGCTTACTATCAGCATTGCGAGGACTGGCTAAGTCGCGCTCCTGGCGTTTTCAGATTCAATCCGAGTCTTTCTGGCAGGGTGGGTGTTTCAAAATTATAATTTGGGTGATCTTGCGGTTGCGGTCGAAAATTTCAATAAACTCCCGGAGGTGATTAGAATTTGGGAAGTTCCAATTTAATTTTTTTTGAGGAGGACTTCTTTGGGTACAGCAAACGGGTCCCGAATTTTGATTAGAGCCATGAATGGTTGGGAGATAATTAAATTGAACTGACTCATCCAGTCATGCAGCTTGTTGCGTGTACAGTAGATTCGATCAAGTGCTGATATCCCAGGTTGGTTCCAAGGATTTCCAAGGAGTTATCTACATGTGGATGGTCACGGGATAACAAAAATATACACATCGCGGAGTATTTGTTTGATATTTTTTGAGCATACATGTGCCCCTGGTCCCTACTTTATTTTTCTCTTTTGCAAACGTGTGCGTGGGAACATACTTTGTGGGAACAAGAAACAGTTTGGATCAGCAGGAGTTACTGCTCACGGGAAAAAAAGGCATATCAGGGAAACCTCCAGAAGACGCATTTCTGGAGATGATATGAGGATGACATTCAGAAAGGTGAGTCTCATCTTGAAGTGGAAGGTGTCTACTTTGAGCCAAAGTCACGTCGCTTTCACCTAAAAGTTACAGTTGGCTGTGACCTAAAAGTCACTGATGCCCACGCGCAGTGATGAGCACCGCCAGTGGGCACAACATATTCTGTATTGTTTGTAGGGCTCGTATGTGTTTGTTACTTTTCTTCATTTCCTTCGGGGTTTGTAATGGTTCCTTCTTGCCTCTGCCAATACAGGAAATTACTCTCACCATCACCATCTATTTGTTTAGTGAATTGGATGGAACAAAATTTACAGGAAACCCGCTAATTTGATCTAATTTGATGATATTGATTGCCAAGACAGTTTGTTTCGGACTTTTTTCTCTGTATTCATAGGGTTTGAGGATTTCAAGCTGTCAGGGGCACCATGCCAGGCCACTTGGGGTACGATCGCGACCCCAAAGCGCGCGATCAGCGCGATCAGTGACATCGGTGCCTTGGGAGCTGCCCGAAGCCCTGAATGAGTTATGGCCATGGAACAACTCATGCAATTAAGGTGAAATATATCACTTACATGATATGGATTAAGTGCAGTTATAATTGACTGAAAGTTGGAACGCCTTGGAATGTCCTGTTGGTGGGGCGCGGAAGGAAAGAAAACGATGCATGAATAAACATAAAACGATACGAAACGCCACATTCTTATTTGTCAACCTGGAGCGGGTTTTGATCTAACAGTTATAAGGTTTTGATCTAACCTCAGGACCTGCAAAAATCACAAGAATCCACTGAGATGGGCTGTGACTAAACGTGAATTGTTCCTGGAGATATTTGGGGGTTGATATTGCCCAATGTCTAATGTTGGCATATGTTGGCTAGCCGGCTTGGATCCGATCCTGTCACCAGGCACCGGCAGCTGCTCCGTACGGTACCAAGATGGGACCTTTTCGCAGTGGCCCAAGGCCATAGACCTCAATGACTTGCCAGGAACGAGTAGCTAGGCCCTGCCTTCACCACCTGGTTGTTTTTACCGGGTTGACCCAGATGAGTCAGAGATATCTTGAAGTTGAGATGATCAGTTCTTCGGCTCATTTGGATCATTTGGCCTCACTGTGGGTTTCAGCCGGCCGCATATACAACATGCAAGGATCCAGATTCGCGTCAGCTTAATTATATGGGAAGTAGCAGTGACATGGTCGTACATGCCGTGAACGTACTTGAACCCTTGAGAATATCTTTACGCAACATTCACAGAATGGGCCAACATACCAACATGTGTGGCTCTAAGTGGGTAAGACACGGGTCAAAATGCAAATGCAACAAATGATTAAGCCACGAAGTTAATAAAGACACCTTCGACATTTGACTACAATTGAACTAGATATGGAGCGTGCCTCCAAATCATCCAGCCATTAGACCATTTTAGTATTGAAAGCCATGAGGCATGGGGGGATCCCATGCCCCTGCGCTCGAGGCCGACACCGCGAGCGCCGGAGATAGTGGCTCAGAAGGTCACGGCTGCAAGAAACGGGTACTAGGATGATACCTCCCTTTTAGTCATGTCAGAGAGCCAACCAGATCGGAACAAAATATTGGATATTAACAATATTTATTTATATATATATATATGTATATTAATGTATATTTATAGTTATCATCAAACGCTAATATTTCCTTTCTATGATAGTGGATGTGATCCAATGATAATATGATATCATCTTGTAAATTGTCCCAAAAGATGATTACAACAATCATAGTAGTGGAATCTGTCTTCAATAATAACGGGATTATAATGTGTGTGGGATCTCTTTTGGTATAGTAATGTATCTTAGAGCTGATTATAACTTAGAATGGACAATAAAGGGATATCTCTTGATTATGTCAAGTTGTTTGAGGAGAAATACTATATGGATAATGATTGGATGATAACCTGTGATAATTACTGGGATAGCACCATCCCCCATTGCTGTATAGTCATGATTATAAGGCCAACTATCCCAAGATGGCCGAGCTATTCTTGTTGCTACATTAATGTAAATTATTAATAAAAACGTTCACCTTCCCACTGCTACTGATATTTATGTTTTGGGATAGATCGTGGGATGATAATGGATGATATAGTGGACAATAGTTGATCATGTGGAAAGCATTTTTCGGAACATGACGCAGCTGTACGAAGAGCCACCCAGTAATGGGATGATGTGTTCCATCATCCCCGGTCATGGGTTGTCCTGTCGTACCTTGGCGTTAGGATGTTCCAAAGCCGTACCACCAAATTTGCCCTACGTTCGGCAGATTTCGAGGTATGTGTGTGCATTGACATGTTTTTCAATTACACACGTGGATGACTTGGGAAATACAGTATATGGGTTTGTCAGTTTGTCAACGAACATATTGGCATATGGAACATGTTATTTTGATAGAGACCTTGGAACATGTTATTTTGATAGAGACCTTGAACAATTTCACCAGAAGCCACGATTTCACTAGGGAAAACTTTTCAATTGAAATCAGCTTCGCCTGTCCCAAGGGCGACCTATCCACAGTTGGGCTTGCCACCAATGACCGGCAACATTTAGGCCACTTTTAGATCTTTTAGGGCCGATTTCAGGCTGGGTTGTCTCCCGGGGTACAAAAATCTGAATGTATTTACCCTCTGGTAAACTAACATAGCTGTGGAAAGCCCACTATTTTTAAATGGGTAAATCCACTATAAACGGCAATTTTCAATAGCTATGTTAGTTTACCAGAGGTTATTTCATTTATAGGAACTTAGGTATCCTTCTGGCCAACAACATCCGCCCAAAATTTTTGAGGCCCAAAAGTCCTGGACCATATATACCGGACCGCAGGTTCAGTTACAAGCAGTTCCCGCGCCCGCGAAAGCATCTTGCGGTGTCCAGCAGGATGGGGCTTGGGGCTCAAACGACGTGAAGCGGTGAAGGGGCTTGATGAATGCGGGCAGTCAATACATACATTGGATAACCCTCTGGCATAAATTACAAGTTTGCTACGGCAAGTCACCGTTTTTGAATAGGTAACTTATGGTAAATGAAATGAATGTAATAAAACGATCTATAAATGCACCATTCCTCATAGATACTTGTACATTACCAGAGGGTGACTATGCACAAGTCTGTAATATTGAAACCTGGAAACCAGCAATGAGATATGTTTTAATCATCATTAGCACCTTTTTCGAGCATTCACCTGATGTTGGAGAATCCCCTTGGCCCTTTTCTCATAGGATGTCCTTGATTCCCCAACAATTAAAGCATGTTTTCCCACGGTACATCTGAAAACAAGGGTTTTGCATGCTTTAGTATTGAAATGTACTGAAGCTATTGATTTTTGATTATGAGAGGGATGCGTCGCATTCTGTTGCTTGATTTGGACTTGTTCGAAAGCAGTAGGTATACTAATGACTGTTTACATGTTTCACATTATATAGAATAGCCCCCATAAAGTGGGGACTCTCCATAGTTATCTTTAAAAAATGTATCATCACTTCTGAATCTTCACCACCCATCATATCCTTTCCGTTAGATGCTTACATCATGGTTTCATCAAGTTAATCCCAATGTTTCATGGTTTTTTCCCTACCAAGTAAAAATCCCATCCAAACACAACAAATCAAAACGAGGCCGGAATTTGTCAAAAACATCGGATGGGAATCGGATTCGGATCGGATCGCAGGAGCCCATCCTGAAGGCAGACTTCCAAGCTCTTCTGGAGTTGATCGGTGCCAAGGATCCACTGGGTGATGGGCTCCCCATTTTTGGTGGTGAAGGGAAGTCTCAGGTGAATGACTTTGAAATGATTTATCAAGATACTAGATGATCTGTGGGTATCAAAAAAAAGTCCAAGATAGGAAAAGTAACGAACAAATACTTGATGGATAAATCTATATAGATCACAATCCAGAGTTATGGGGATTTGTTGGCATCAAATATAGGGAAACCAACTGGGTAAGGTGAGCAAATAATCATGCGTTGTTCTCCAGAGATGGAAAAAAACAGAAAGCAGGTAGATAGGACATCAAGTTAAAAACCTGGAAATTACAGGGGCAAACATCAGTTCCTTTTTTCGGGGGACACTTATGATGGAACAAAAAATACAATTGACTTATTGTCAAATTATATATTTGTGAATTTGGAAATCATTGACTTTTTTTGTTGCCACGTGAGTTATCTAAGAACTGTACGACATTCTATGGAGAATCGCAAGCCGCGGTCAAAATGAGTCAACAACAAACATGTGTCAACCTGAAAGTTTGAAACCATTAATTCAGTAAACATACATGAACAATATGAAACAATCTGTTTTTATTGGCCCAGAGCCTTAGGCTGGAGTCGTAGTCAGATGGCACTTCCTATTCCCAATGACCCCAGAGGCTTTTGGCCCTGTTTTTCACCTGGCAGAGGCTACATACGATGGTCGTTGCATAGATGTTTTTAGGGGCTCACCTACCACCACCACTCATCACCTGCCGTAGTTATCCAGAGTTTCCTGCAACACCCAGATAGATAGAAAAGCTGGAACCTGGAAATGATCGGAGAAGCATCAGCATCCTGGAAAGCGTTTTCCATTTTTCAGACCCCTCTAGACTCCCTTTACTAAGCGACCCCTGGTGATAGGTATTTTTTTCGTTGGGTGAACAGCCTGGTACCAGGCGGCCGCACGCTTCTCCTCCTTCCATCAATGTTTTCGAAGGGTTCCTTGGATCTGACATGATCTGAGCAGCAGATCTGAGCAGCACAAGTGCTGGGCCAAAAGGTGATTCAAGTTTCGCCAACACATCAGTGACACTTAGGGCAATTTTTGGTCAGGGGCGGGCGAAATCTAAGACTGGTCATGTTTAACATGTTTTGGAATGATCGATGTTTTTTTGGATCCAGATATGATGCGGATTCCCTGTATATCCACTCCTTAAACGGCGGGAGCCTCATAAGATAAACTCAATGGATGAACATGGACATTTTCTACAAAGATAAACTCAATGGATTGTCATTTGTACATAGTTGTACCGTGTTTTTTTTTCCTCTTAGCTCACCAAATTTAGGGCTTTCCGGTTGAGATTTCCCTTCAGGGCTGCTGTTTTCCCCCGCCTCGCCTGAGTTGGATGCTGACTCCAACGGCAAGGTGCCAACCTTTGGTGTGATCTTTTGCTGCTTAAATGGGTGATATTAATATCTGGTTGGTGGTTTGGAACATGAATTTCATGAATTTCCATATAACTATTGGGAATTTCATCATCCCAACTGACTGATACCATTTAAGCAATTTAATGGTTAATCACCACTAGTACCTGATATTCATCAATATTATCAATATTTATCATATTATTTGGTTGGTGGTTTGGAACATTAATTTTATGACTTTCCATATATTGGGAATAATCATCATCCCAACTGACGAACTCATATTTTTCAGAGGGGTTGGTATACCACCAACCAGGATTATAATGCCAACCAGCTACAGGTTTGATATTTTTGGTATATTCTATACGCTTCTCAAGATTGGCAGCTGTCGTGGACATGCTTCCCAGGAAGATTCTGTTCCAGGGAAAGGCGGAATCCTATGCGGTGAAATGCTACGTTTGAGTATGTTTGTGTGTCTGACCGTAATTATAACATGTATTAACATGTTATAAACACCATGACAACTATCCCAAACATGAAAGCTTTAATGATGATAAAGCCTGATTTTTTATGGGCGTGTACCATTTTCAGACAAACACATCATGCCATACTGGCAATGCTGGAACATTTTCTTGACAACCTCAAGATATTATGAGCTGGAAGTGTAACGGGCTGTTGATGTGATAGCTGTTAGCTCATTGACATGTTTATGGATGTTTGGTACACGTGGCCTGCAGTCCAGGCGCGGGGGAAAAAAGAAAAATCGTACATAGGTTCTTGGGTACTTGCTGATCCTCACCACAGATGACGTTTTCCCATGTTCCTCAGTGGATCAAAGCGGAGGTGCCGGAAACCAGTCAAGTCACGACTTAGCTTCACCAGCCAAGTCGACATCAAATTCATCATTCATCACTTAACTCACATCCGGCCTCGAGTCGTCCGCCGATCCTCCGGTGGCATTGCAGGGCGTCGGAGTCCCGTCCCGATGGCGCATTCACCGGGGAGTGACGGTGCAGCGGAGGAATTGCACTCGCAATTCGCCTGTCTCCGCCGCGAGTTGATGGAACTCCTGGACCGAAAGGACGGGATCACGTTAGGTGACATGGATTGCAGCTGGGAGAAGTCGGAATGTGAGATCATATAGATCAAATAGTAAGTATATATGTAAGTATCACATTTGACAGGAGATCATATAGATCATATAGATCATATAGATCATATAGATCATATAGATCATATAGATCATATAGATCATATAGATCATATAGATTTCTAGATCCAGACATGGATCGAGTAGTATGTTTTTTTTTCCAGGATTTCACATGCACGGATCTCTAAGGGCATGGAATTCTATGATCCAGGTGAGTAGGACAATAGCAATTTCATGAGTGATAGTTTGAGGGAATCGTCCTCTCAACTTAGACTTTCTTGAGTTTTTTTTACATATTTCAATATTGTTCTTAAGTGAATCGGAAGGTTCAACCGGCCGGCCGGCCTCATCCGGCCTCTAACTGGCCGGCGGTGACATGGTGAGATTTGGAGGGCAAGTCTGTTTGTGCTCCATGGCAGAAAACCAATGTAAATATTTATTTATAGTTAAAACTGTGTAAACAAATAGTATACATTAATATAATTGTATATGTTTAATGTAAATTTATCAATATCATATAATATGTTATGATACATGCATGTATAATCATATGTATATATATATATAGAGAAATTATATGTATATGTGTTTTTCAACAAAATTGGGCTTCAATACCTGGCCAGGAAGAGAAGATCCAGCAACTCATTGACACGTGACTTGGCCCCGTAGCCCCGTAGCGGCGTTTGTTTTTTGGACATTGCTCGGTTTCAACGCGGTTGCTTCAAAACGCAGACAGCCATTCTGGTTCTGATCATGAAATTCAAAGACACCCTGGTTTTTTGATGTTTTTTGGCCATGAAATGCCATGAAGTTCGAAGACATTGCAGTTGTTTGACCATGTTTGACCATGTAGTTCCATAACGTCCCGTTTTCTGCGGTTATGAAGTGCCATAAACCAGGAAAACACAACCCTCGCAGTTTCATGGGTTGTAACCCACTGAACCAATTACAGTGTTTGACACCATGGCACATCTAAGTATAAGAAATCATCACCTGTATAGCCCAGTTATTAGTCAATTACCCTCTAGCAAATTTCACATAGCCACGGAAAATCACAATTGCTAAATCTTGCTACCCTCTGGTAAACTAACGTAACTATGGAAAATCACCATTTTTAATGGGAAAATCCACTATAAATGGCCATTTTCAATAGCTATGTTAGTCATTACCAGAGGGTAAATAAGTTATAAATCATCGAACTCAATGGGCTTTTTGCCACAGCAAAGTGTTAAATTACCTGAGGGCAACAAACTTCCATGGCTAGACCTTCTGCATTTGCCAGGATTCCATCGCATGCTCTGCCGGTAGCGACTCCACCGGTAGCGAACGCTGACGTTAGAGACTTCTCCGGTATGCCACCACGACAGCCGCTGGGCAGTTGTCAGTGGTGATTAAACCACAAACGGCATATGAATGGGATGATTGATGATAATGGGATATACAGCCAACTCAATTCATGATTAATGCATATTGATGCTACTATATTAATGGTGATGTTTTCATGGGGGGTTAGCCATGTACCCTGTACATGGCCATAGACCGTGGGTTTAACATTCTGAGCCAGCAACACTAACGGCATAAAACCAACCATGGGGGTGTAATGTCATAACCCTCACCAATCAGTATACCCCTTAAGAGATAAAGTTTTATGAAGGGCGAATTTCAACGACCAACATCTAGCAACAACCTTTCACAAGATGCAAGGGGGGGCAAATCTGAAGCGTTTATCATGGAGGGTTCAGCCTTGGTGGGGTGAACTTGGAGTTAGATCAGAGTGATCAGGGTCAAGTGTCTGATTATTTATATCATGTCATGATTTGTTGTTTTGACGATTGTAGTTTCAAACTGTGGTGAGGTGGGATGGGGTCCAAAACGATCCAAGACGTAGAGTTTTTAGGACATATCCCATCTATATATACTGACCACGAAAATAGGACGTAAATCTGGACAGCAGCGAAAGGGGCGGACCTCAGCAGATGAGTCAGGTCGGCTAGTCGGGGAAACATCTCAGCAGCACCTGTTGAAAATGAGTCGGGCAAACATCAGGATCATCAGGTCCTTGAAATGTCCGTTGCTGATATGTTTTTGCCTTCAAGTCGTCATGGCTTAAGTTGAAAACCTGGAGGATGATGCGGGTTTTGGATATGTTCGTTTGGGATGATCTATAAGTTATAAGCCCCAACAAGATTCCAAAAAGTGTACCACCAGGATAGACATATAGATTCACTATGATTCACTTATCTCATCCAGGTTTTCCGCTTTTCCATCTAGTTGTTTTTTTTTTGGGAGGGGGGAGATGGTCTAAACCCTGAGTGACGTGATTTCTCCATTTCAGCGGGGTTTCCCGGCTCACCCCGGCCACTGTACGCTCCTAGGGAAAGCGCTCAGTCGGACGCTTCAGTGCCAGAGTTTCTCAAGCCAAAGGCCGTTTCCATCTGGGCCATCCCTGTATAAAAAGCAAGGCCGAAATCCAATGGTTTGATTTGAAAATAGTGTAGCCCTAGAATTATCCATTGGTCTGTTATGTGCTTGTCATTATTTCCATATTTCCTCCATATAGATAGATAGTGGGAAACTACAAATATATACAAATGTGCATTATATAATAATATACATACATTAATATGTATGTATATTATGTGGTGAAATCATTGAGCTGCCATCCTGGTGACAGACTTTTCGGAAGTTTGGTGCTTACTATTATGTCAAATCATGAATGATCAGTGGCTGTGCGCTTCTCAGATAATCACACCTTGAAATGTTGCCATCATGGATCGTTGTGGCTTCTAAAAACCGTTGTTGTTTTTGTTCTCCCGTATGCCCGGCCGAACTGAAATGTGATGTGTTGAGGCTCTGATGTTCCAGTTTGGTTGCCAGCCGTATAGTCAATAGTATAGTCGCATCTTCATAATATTGAAGACCATCGCTTGATTTGTTATTATTCAATTGTTTTTATTACTCTCGGGGGGCCATAGGCGGAAAACTGTCTGAATTAATCAAATATGTACTAGCAGGATGCTTGATTGTCTTTTCATTGGGTTAGCATCTGAAAAGTTGCATCGTTCATTTTTCAGCAGTGCTCATTGGCCTGGGGGTAGCCGGGTAGCCTCCAAATAGCCGCAATATGATTCATAAATGGGTACATATATAAATGGATATAAATGGTACCACCACGATTAAACTCCAGGGTTTACATTATATTGGATCCCCAGGCCCAATCCATGGATTGGACACGTCGGAGCGACCGCCAGGATGGGCAGGAGAGGTTTTCATTTGAGAGTGAGGCTGAGCAACTTGGTGACATGTGCCATGTTTGATTTAAAAAAAAAACGTGAATGGATGGGGATAAACATGGATTAACATCAATCCATAGGGAGTGCCCATATGAATAATATTGGTGCGGATGACCATACCACATATAAATACATCGATAGTATGTTTTAACCATTGCACACAATGATTCTGCGCATATCGGGTTGAATACTGTAAGTTTCGGGGAAACGGGGAAGCAAGGCAATGTTGAGTCCCCTGGGAAAGTGTGTTCGCACATTTTCGCAGTTCGCCTCTGGCACTGTGTTCACCATTTTCTGGAAGAACAAGGCAGTGTGCTGGAGCCGGGGTTAGAGTATCCCATTCCAATCTTGCAACTGTTGTTTGATGAGTGCAAGGGTTAAAGGGCTCCATGCCCAGGGTGCCAGTGGATAAAGGCCATGGCTCGGGTTATCTAAGAGAACAACTGGTATCATGTGGTACCCTTGTGGGGTGAACATGGGCACACAAAAAGCTCCAGACTGGTTTATTTCTTGATGAAGGCGAAGGTAGAACTAATTGCCTGGCCCTAATTGTTTGGACCCCTGTTCTGGTAAAATCTCACATGCTACTTTCTGTAACAAAAGGTCATTCATCAGCTATACCCCAAATGGAAACTGCAATTTCATATCCCCCATGGAATTTATAGGGACCCCGATGATGGCATCCCCATTCCCATAGGCTTCCCATACTATTGGAGAGTTTCTTATGGCAGTACTATGAGAGTATTTTGCGAATGGAGGTCAAATCGGGGTCCCTATAAATCCCACCGGCATCAACCCATACTTAAGTTCACTAGTTTGATAAATATAATTGACATTCATTGACCATAGATATATCTAGAGCATATATATATATTTATTTATTTATTTTTATTATTGTTATTTATTATTATTATTATATATACAATATCTATCTATATATATATACAGTATATATCTGTGTGTGTATATTTGTGGTCATCATTATTTAACACAGGATTTAAGCAGGTTGATAACTGGGAATGAGCTTGAACATGGAGCCTGAGCCGCCAAGGAAAACGAAGTTTGCTTCGAAAGCCACCTCTGGGCGGACCTTTAGGCGCGAAGTCTCCAGATCGGTGGAGAGTTTGCTTCGAAAAAACGACCATTTTGGTTACCTTATGTCTTACCATTATGGTGATTTATTGGTGATTTAATGGTTTAACATTGGGTTAACAATGGTGAATCATGGGATGATATGGGTTTACCCTCTGGTTATTTAACATAGCCATGGTATAGATGGCCCATTTATAGAAGATTTTCCCAGCTAGAAACCTCCATTTATGGTTGGGATTTTCCATGGCTATGTTAAATAACCAGATGGTACCACTATGGTTACATGATGGTAATGTCCTGTTCCCATTGGTTGATGAATAGAGGGGTTTGAAATGGTTTGAAGGTTTACCCCTTTAACAACAGGGAAATGATGATAGATGGTATACCAAACCGGCCCCTCTATTTTTACCAAAAGGACATTATCGTTTACATGATGGTAGTGTCCAGATCATGTCTTACCATTATGTCTACCCTGGGTGGAGTGTTATCTTTTCACTCGCCCGCACTCGCTGAACGCTGAACTCTTCGAGAAGGCGATGGGGAGAGAGATGTTTTAATGGTGTTCAATCAATTCAATCTATGTTAAACCATCAAGATATTAACATGGTTTCACGAGCACACTATAATGGCTGGATGCTGTTTTTTTAATGGTTGGTTGAGTTGGTAAAGCCCAACGGCTGTGTACAATGGAATGCCATTCAAGTCTTAGAATTGGTCCCCTTTATTAATCGATGATTGTCTTAATCTTGATCCACGAAACGGGAACCGAACCTCCTGTTCACAAACCATTTCAAGAGATTTTTCATTGATTTTTCCATATGTTTTAGTTTCACTGCTGATTGAATAAGCCCTTTTCCTCCGTTGCACTGACCATGGGTCCTGGCTATGGTCATTTGAATCGATTACATCCGCTTGCCAAGCATTTTTTTTTCGAAACAACATATGAGTGACATTTTTGGCAGGGAATCTAGCCGCAGACCTTGGTAGTCTCTAGACCATGGTCTCCCATGGTCTCTTTTTTTTAAGGCAAGAGAAGGGTTTGCGGAAGTACATTCAGAAGGGCACCCACCTGGGCCTCTTTGTGGACTCTACCGGCTGCAGTTTCTCGACCTTATCGCCAGTCACTGGATCGATTGTTAGGAACTATTCAGGTTACAGTATAAAGCAGTGTGCATCATTCATTGTTCTTTATCCAGAGATATGCAGTTTTTATTACATTGCGTGGTACGTTGTGAGGAAAAGAACTTTGTTTTTGTCTGTTTCTTCTCCAGGCCAAGGGACATGTGATTATATGTACCTCTACCTATGTGGGATAGCTGCAAAAATGGTAGCCAAACCACGGTTGAAAACCAGGAATTTGATTGCTCGTCATCGCTGTGCTGTTGAAAGAGATCTGTATAACCCTCCCATGCTGTGGAAAAGACATCGCGAAGCAGTTTACAGTGCACACGATGCACCCCACAAAGTGTGACATTTACATCTCACATGGTTCCTGCAGCTCTCCTTGCCCCTACAACAGTAACATGGAAGCCCAAGTTCAAGCAAAATAGGTCGAACACGTAATTTTCCAGTTGGTGATGACTGTTCTCTATCCAAACAAATCCCAACTGTCTCATTTTCTCCTTGAGCAAATTTGGTTCCTTTTAAGCACCACTATGGCTGCCAAACCAAGGACCGATACTAGAGAAGGCTATCTCAAAGGCACCTCGGACATTTTTTATGGGGACCTCTAGTAAACCTGACATAGATATGGTATGATATGGGAAAATCATTGGGAATCAACTATAGAATCTATAGAAATGACATCATGAGCATCATGGATATTATGGAATGGGAAATGAATTTGATGTGGTTCTGGGATGTTCTGCTTGAAGTTCTGCGCAAATTATAACGGGAATCACGTCGCGACGTCACTGGAACGCTGGGATTTGTAATGGTTTAGTGATCTTTAATGCACCTATCCCAAAAATGGCCGAACTATTCAGGTGATTCAGGCGATTCAGGTGTGTGAATTATTATTGTTCCTCCAGATCCTCTATATGTATAGGAAGTAAACTAATTTCATAGACACGAAACATCTACTGATCATTTGCATATTGTTCCATTGAAACCGTATGAAACCGTTAGTTTTCCATATCCATGTTGGTTTGCTATAGTGCTTTTGTGAAAACATTGCGTCATTTTTGATTTTGTCTTTTCCACATCAACAGAGATGAGAAATCGTTCGGTGTTGCCATGAATTGGGGATCATAAAACTGGATTAAATCGTTTTTTTCAATTGCGCAAAATGAACGTCCACCAAGACCCTGCAAGTACCTAGAAGGATGGGTAAAAGATTACCCGATTTCTCTGTGCACTTGGAGGGTGTAAGCACTTTATTTGTTCTGTCTCTATGGGAGTTGTGGTTTCCGCCTGTGGGAGCAGAATGGGGCGCTTACAACCATGTACCATCTCATTACATACAGCTTACCCTGCGACAAGTGTAACATAGAAATGGTACATGGGCCCATGTATAGAGGCTTTACCTCTCAAATTTGGTGGCTATTCCGGTATTCCATTCATAATCTTAGATTACCCATGAGATCCTGTCTTGGCTTCCGCTGATCCGTTTCAGGTAGAATATTTGCAGAAACTTCATGAACCGCCTCGCACCAACTGTTTGGCGCGGATGGTGGATTCGTCCACCTTTCAGTTCGCCCCTTGGCATCGAGGCCTTATCTCTGCATAATGCAACACCAAAAATAGGGAACCGGAAACCCATGGAAATCCGTTATAAATGGATATAAATGGATATAAATGGAGGTTTCAATGGGGACATGATTGATAATTTATAATACAGTATCTGGCTAAGTTGTAACGATCGAAGCCTGCGAGAGAACCCTGGAATCATGGTTCGAATTCAGAGAATTATCCCAATATAGCTGAACTTTTCAGGTTGGTTAGCTACTAAAGATGTGGATACGAGGGATACCTGATGGTGGGTGAACCCTATGGTTCAAGATGGATGGTTATAAGTCAGAATATATTGTAGGAATACATATCCTATGAGCTAAGCAATGGCATGGGATGGGAGGGTTTTTTTCTCTGGTCGTTTGGCTCTTGACCTTTGTGCATTTTTATTGACATTGATCACATTGATGCAGGATTTTACCTTGATGCTGTTTCCACCGGTTGCACTTGTTGAAGCCACCTTCTTACACAAGTTGACATGTAGTTAGTCCATGGTTTGCATTGTTTTGCTATTGGGGGCAATTATCATGACTTACTACGCATTGAGGAACCAATGCAACATCTGATGACTATTAATTCTTTGTACTGTTCAGTTTTTTTTTCCCCTGGTTATCCTGTAATGATGTACGAGGCACCCACACAAGTGCCTCGCTGGGAACTCCAGCGTCGTCCCAGGTTTGCACCGTCGTGATCCTCGCGAACTGCTTGACCTTGCTCTTCTCGGCGCAGCTTGGCGTTTTGGAGCTGCAAGTGTTGATCATATTTCATCAGAATTTTATATTCTATCTTAAAAGGATGAGACCCAATTTATCGGGTCCTATATGCCATATATTAATATATATGATATATGTGTATCAGAATTTTATCAGCTTTTCAGATGAACTGAACCAGTGATTCATCCCATGATAGGATGATTGTTCCGCCGAGGAACTGGGCGATGGAACATCTCAGCTTCGACGTCCCGCAATATTTTCGAGTCTTAGACCTGCCACTTGGAGGAAACTGCTGGAAAGAGATGAGTATATGCTTGCTTTTACCATGAATGAAAAATATGGAAAGTAACTATAGTTGGTTCAAACTTATCCATGAAACATGATTGACATGGTGCTCGAATCATCAAAAATGGTGGAACATCAACCATGGTGAAGCATCAGTCGACTGGTGCCTTAACATCCAAAATGGTGCGGTCGGTCGATGTCTCCAAAATGACCATTAGACAGTGGTCGATGATTCTCCAATGATTGACACGCTCCGCAGCTGACAGATGCTGACAGCAGATTTGTTTCACCTGAATGCACTGTTTTTAGGAATTCGTCTATTTTAACCTTTTGAATGCCGCGAAAGAATGAAAGAATGGTCTATTTAAATTGCTTGAATGAGTTTCGAAGATGTTCCAAGATACTTCAATCACATGGATCGAGCCAGGCTCTGCAAGTAGAGGTACCATGGATTTCGAAGTACCATGAGGGATGCCTCGACCCGATAAAATTGACATGTCAAGTTAAACAAATGGTAAACGTTTGAAAGAAATTATGTGGTAACTGCATGTAACTGCCATTGTTTATGGCTCGTTTGAGGGTTCAGGTGGGCTATCCCAGGTGGGATGTCAGCTACTGGGTACCCCATGGTACCCCTAGCCCTACTCCCATAGGCCTCCCATAGAAAGCCCACAAGTATGGGAAGCGTATGGAATTTTTGGGCTACCAGCGGGGTCATCAATTCTGGCATGAGGTCCTTCACAAGTTTCTATGCTGCTTGGCTGCGACCTCCGTGTTCTATCCATGTTCTCAGATCGTGCATCTTGCGCTATCACACCCTGTCAGCAAAGGTTTTTGTTCGAACATGTTCAGCTGAACCTATTCGACCTTAGATTGTCTTAGATTATGTTAAAATACATCATTAGATTCCTGTGGATGCGCGCTCTTCTTTTTTTCTTCCGGACTTTTTAGGCAGGTCCTCTTTGTTCGGCCCTTTTGCAGGTTGGAGCTATTCAATGCGTTCATCAGGGGGATCCAATCCGGGAACATTCAACACACCAGAGGGGTTCGTGAAATGTGCGCTGTCATTTTTTATCCATAACCCATAGGATCCATGTATGCTATATATGGTAACATTTGGGGTATATTGATGATAAATGTTACCATATATAGCATATATGGATCCTATGGGTAATGCGTCAGGATTCGACGTACGATGTTCTGATGATTATGTATATATGCACAATTATGCACAGTCTACAGCCGTAAACCTGTAGCAGACCACACGCAATACAACCATTTCAAAGGTTCATAAATAAACCTTCAGGCAATGGGGGTTGCTATTGGGCTTGCCACATTACATAGGTAGAACCCTTCAACCCACATCTGACTGTTGAATCTTGTAGCACACACGTGACAAATGTCAGGAGCTGTGAGTTGGTTGCTGCTATATACTTTTTTTGGGATGATGTCTCATTGTTTTTGGTTGGGCTTTTTTCTTTGGGTAAGTTGACACTTTTTTTTGCCACAAATCTACTCTGGTGGTTTGGAACATTCTTTATTTTCCATTTCATATAGGGATATTATGGGATAATCCTTCCCATTGACTTTCATATTTTTCAGGATGGCTATTGCACCACCAACCAGTACTGTTTTGCGACTACCGGGATCTAAGACTCAAGACTGGCCATGTGGCAGGTCGGGGCATCCATACGCCCGTGTTCCAGGGCCATCCTCAGGTACTGTTGTAACCCGATCTGGTATGAAACATTCGCGATATCGATGGGTCATGAAGCGAACTGGTGAATAAGTGGCTCCCGCTATCTTGTACCCAGCGAATATCAGCCAGTTATGATCACCAGTCAACCAATGCATAAATTACAAAAGTTCATTATCTACATATTAACTATACCTATAATAATAAAACATATATATATATACAAATATATATATAATATATATATAATTATATATATACACATCTATATGCTATACTTGGTGGTGGGGTACATCACAGCATGGCTTAGCAGCCCAGCTGCTGCAGCTGCTCAGGTCATTGAGTTGATTTTGAAGTTGATCGTCCACAGGTGCAGCCAATGGGGCAGAAGCTACTGCTAGAGACGACATTCACAATGTTTCGTCGTATACATACATACATATATATATTTATATATCTAACATCATTTTAATACGATATATATATATATATATATATACTGTATATAGTGTGCGTGTGTTTATTTATGTTTGCAATCTGACATTATCAAGTGATGATAGTGGTGTACTGTGGTATCAAGTTTACGTCTCGGAATTCTGGCCGCGTTTGGTTTAGCACCATGATCCTGCTTGAAGTCCAATCCAAGCACGCAAAGACGGATTGACCATGGGTTGGACCATTGAATCCATCTATGGCACCAATGTTTATTCATTTTTATTCCACAAATAGCCAAAAGACAAAAGGTACAGTAGAAACATTTGCACATGGAGGCTGTGAATGGCTGGATATGAATTGGCTATAATTGGCTCCAGCCATATGCGCAGGCAATACTTCTTCTGGCATCATGACTGGAGATGGAATGTATTTGATCCTTGGATCAGCGGATGAAAGCTGGAAGAAGCTGGTGGGGTAGGTGCGACATATCAGCCCCCATCAAAACTATAGATCGAATCCTTATGTTTTCAAAAAGTCAAGGTTCACTTTGGTGGCCTTTTCGGAATGTCCAAGTGGTAACTGCCTCTCCAGATACCACAAGGGGGTGGCCCTTTGTGGCCTGAGAGTGAAGTCTCCGTGCGCCCATTTTATTGTGGATTTGACCTGACTTGACCCATGGATTTGCATGCAACCCTCAAGAAACTTAGGCTGTTGTAAGTATAGGACCTTCCCATTAGTCTGCACATCGAACGAAGATTGGAAAGTGAATGAGCGTTCTGAAATTTGAAGGGCTGGCCTTGCATTACCATCTTGGGAGGGTGATGGGATGTCCTCAATGGCTCGTTTTTCCCAAGGATTTTGTGTTGGTCATTTTAGCAGTGCAAGAGCAAGTTCTCGAGTACATGGCATCTCAGAACGTCACACGCATCTGGGCGTTATGTCGGTGAAAACCGGGGGGAACCTTTCGACTGGCGAGTGCATGCTTAGCTATGTAGATGTTTTCTTGTGGCAAGAAGAATTTGGAAGACTTGTCTAGAAACGGATCTACATGCACATATTCCTTCCTGCAGAAATGATATTGACCACCTTGATAGTTTGTCTCTGATTTTATCTTATTTCATCATCAGATCATGTCCCACCAAGGGCCCCGGAGTCTGTTTTGCTTCCCTGCCAAGACAAATCATATCCCTAGAGCTGCAGAGTTAGTCTTGACTAATGAACAGGTTCTCCGAACTCAAACAGCGCACTGGCTTGGTGTTGGGTGCAGTCCCTGACCTCCAAAATGCATCTTGAGAAAGTCAATGAGCCCGGTCAATCCTTTTTAAGTATTTATATAAGTGAGTAGCTTGTACAAATGAAACATAATTAGAACATGAACAAATAGTTTTACATGTTATAGTTATAGTTATAGTACGCATTTAAAAAATCTAAATATGAATGAATTATATGTGCAAAATATGTACCTAGCACCACCTTTCGGGCTAAAGTTTAAAAGCCTTTTCCTAAGGATTCGATTTTAGACCCTGGGGCCAAAAATCAAACCTCGGGCGGATTTTGCCATGTCAGATTTTGCCATTATAGCCAGGGCAGGCTCAAGGATTGTTCCCATTGTTTGTTGATTCAAAAAAAAGATCATCGGCCGGATTTACCCACTATTCAGGCGGGTTTTCCTGAACTGCGTGGTTTTGATGTTTCTTGAATGAAATTGCCTCGTACAAAAAAAACACACTTACAGCATCACTACGCTGTATGTTCAAACTCGCTTCAGGCGGATTGTTGGGACGCCGGCGGATTTTAAGACCTCCGGCGGAAAAAACAGCCTTGTTGAACTCTGTTATACATACATATATAATATATATATTATAATATATATATATATATATTATTATTTATGTATATATACATATGTATATATTTCTACACGGGAGTTATACAATATGAGTGTGCAGATGTTCACACATATATGTGCATTACTATATATGCATCGCTAACTTGCTTCAGATAATTCCTGCACTGATTCCAGAATCCAAGGGGTGCCACAGATCTGTGCCTCTCCAGGCATCTCATACATGCGATCCCTTCGATTAGTTCGAGTCTCGCGCGTGTTACGTTTGCTGCGAGCCATCCGAGTGATTCGCGAACTTCGGATGATGGTCTTCTCAATTATGAGTTCACTCAATGCCACCTGGTCGCGTTTGAGTACGACTGAATCATATGCTGCGCACGCATTTGACTGCTTGACAAGTAGATGACTTTCATAAGGGTTTGTCTGAAACTAGGAAAGACCTCATTTCAAAGGGGTTTATCATAAATCATCATGAATCCTTGTGTAGTGTATTGTAGTGTAGCATAATATTACAAAAGCACCATAAATCCAATATAAATCCAATTGTTCAATGGCCAGTGAAGGAAGGCCCTGTTCCGCATCCTTATGTCGAGCAGCAGTTCACCTTGTCACCTGAGGCGCTGTTTTGGTGCCTGGCACCTTGACTTTGTTACAAGGGATCTTGTAAAGATGCTTGGGGAATACACTACTTGGATTACTTGGTTTGGGTTTTGGAACACAAGCTGAACTTTGATTGAGGAAGATTGAGGATTTGATAGGATTTGGTTGTTTTGAGGTTACCAATCCCCGAGTTGATACTTGGGATGATGCCGATTAGGTTTGAACCACCAGCAGTTGAGTTGTCCAACAACTGTTTTACCCGGGCTTTTCTAGCTCGCCCAGCAAGAGAGAACTGACCCAGCTGCGTCACTTGTCTTGAAGCATCAGTTCTGTTTAAGAGGAAGCCCTCAAAGAGACAAATCATTGTTCCAGAATGTTATATAACTATATATAAATATATAACTAAACTATGATGGTTTCTATTGCGCAGTTTCCATATCTCCAGCTTTTCGGACTTGGAGGACTTGGTGTTTCAGCACTTTGCCATACTTTGCCAGTCATCCATCATGGGTCCAGTCCGCTGGGCACGGCCGGCAGCCGGTCGTCATCCCAGGTCTTGGTGTCGTTGGTGATTTGCGTCTTTTCCCTGTTCTTCTTGCAGATTTCCACGGATTATTTGATCTTGGAGCAAGAGAACATCGCGGAGGATGCTGTCGAAAAAAAGATGTGGAATGCCAAATGGGGGGGGGAAAAAAAACATGGAAAATTCCCGAAACGATCCCAAGGATCACCTTGACCTGGCAAAAAATAAGCTCCAATCGGGAAGAAAACGGGTTGGATTGTTCACTGCCTGGTTGGATTACTGGAGCCAACTTGATCATCGCTAGGAATTTGTTTACGGTATCACCGATAGTTTTTCACATGGTCATCAAAGGATTCTCAGGATTCTCGGTCAAAACAAACGCAAAGAATCAAAACCCCTACCCTCCATGATTTTTCATGGCTTTTAGATGTTCTTCGTCCATGGTTTGTCGTGTTTCACTTTACCATTTTCATCCATATTCTATACACGCATAATAACGCATATATCTATATATCGCTCTTGATCAACTTGGGCGCCTCACCTTGTTACTGTAGCAATGACCTTGACTTGTCTCACTGGTTTGCTATTGAATACAAAGCAGTTTCCGTCCTTTTTCACATTCCACTGGGAAACAGCAAGGTAAAAACAAAAACATAAAACTTCAATGCCCCTCCAAGAACAGGTTTTCGTTCCCCAATTAAACTTTGAATTTGCTCAGGACATCTTCAATGATTTCCAGAAATACTTCGGTTCTCTGG